TCAAATGTAATTATTATCGAGGGCGTAAGAATGATATATGACTCTGATTTAATTCTAATATTGGAAAACCATAATATATACAGTCGGTGCAAAAAGTATTCGTACAGAGAAAATATTTTTTAAAAAAACTTTATTTTTAAAAAGTAAATATTGTTCAGCAAGAAATGAGTCATTAAATTGATGTCGAATCGATATCAATACAATGATTTCCAATCGATTCGATGTTTAATTGACGTTCATTTCTTGCTGGATAATTAATAATTTATTATTAATTTCATAAAGAATAAAATAAACTGTATGTTAAAATTATATATACCAAAAAAATGTGTATTGATTATAGAAAATATATTATCTGAAAAATAAACAATTCTATTGTTTGGATGCTCAAAGTATTAATACAGTCGAGAAATTTAGCTTCTTAAATCAAGAATACAAAATGCAAAACTCGTTTGTTTATATTAGAACAGAAAATATTCATTATATAAAATTGTTAATTAATGTTTATTTTTTACAAATAAGACTTTTTTTTATAAAAAATTTTCTTATACGAATACTTTCTGCTCTCACTGTATATCGATCGTATTACATATTCGTATTACATATTAAATATTATATGTATTTAGCAAAAAATTGAAAGATGAGAAGCCCGAGTATATCTCGAACACATATATGATTTGTTATTCAAACATTGAACATGTGCGCCAAGTAGCGTTTCAAAACTTGACTCCGAATATCTTTCACCTTTATTCTTTCACCTTTATTCAACATTCAGTGACCAACAAGGATAAAAAGATACTCGAGTTGACAGATTTGAATTTTAGAACGCGCGCGCAACTCTGAAGTACAGAGCAGCTGAAACTTGCTGCGTTAAGTTGGCTGCGGTCGCGATCTTCGTTTACGACGCCATATTGCGAAGTGTCACGAGAAGAGTCCCGAGCGGCGAGCGGATCGTAATTTCATGCGTGTGTGCCCTCTTCGCGTTATTCTTTCGTCTCAATAAAATAACACGTGCGACTAACGTCGGGAGTGCCAGACAAAGTGTCGCGCGATCATCGTATTATGAAAATCAGTTCGCGCATAATTAATCAGGCTTCCGAGAGTGAATATATATTGAATGCTGTAACGGAATTACTCAGAAAAGGAAAGAAGACTTGGGAGATATCGCAATCGAGGAGTGAGTAATTTGTTACTTGTATATAAATATTTCGATATTATTTGTACAGAAATAATCTATTATTAATTAAATAAGAAAAATCCTCAATTTGGTCAAAGTGGTGGTCTTAGTATATAAATATTTCTGTGTAAATTTATATATATATTCTAATTCTGTAAACCGCCGAAATCCTTTTCAATCTTGAAACGCAATTATGTGGTCTGTTTTCTGTTCCAGCACTAGATTGTACTAGAATTCTCTTCCTCGCTTTCAACAAACATCAAACATATATTTCACTTTATATTTCACTTTAAGTTCCAAAAATGTACATTAGTTCAATCACTGAAAACAGATTTAAAAGCAAAACTAGAGTAGTAATATCACTTATTATTGACAAGCAATTTAATTATTTTTCATGCTAATAAGCATCTTTATAAAAATATTAATAATCTGTTAATGAGAAACTTAAGTTTGCGAATAGTTTATTGCGAAAATATTCTTATAAAAAAAATTGATGCTTATTAGCAATTATTTAATTGCTTGTTAATAGTTGTTGATAGTTTGCAGAATAAAATATGTAATAAATTCACATAGAAAATTTTAAGTACTAATATTATTCTGGCCGAATGTAGGATTTCTTTAATTAGATTTATTCTCATCCATTTATATAATATTTGTATTATAATCGGTTATTAATTAAATATTTAAATCATTTATGCCTGAGTAATTTGTGTAAGAAATAAATAAATAAAACTTTTATGTTACGAAGTTTTATGAAAATCAATATTTAGGAAAGTATTATTTTTTTAGAAATTATATATTTTTTAGAAATTATTTTTAATTTGATTAAATATCTTAAGAGTAATAAATAAATTCAAATTGGCACAAGAATTATTTCTTTATTATATATAGTATTATATATAGTATTATTTAGTTATTTTTGGCGATTCTAATTTAAATTATTTATATTTTGCAGATCAATAGAGTTATAATTCCGCTGCGCATCACCATCGGTGAGTATGAAATTATTATTATATTTTATGAAAAAATAGATCTGTAAATATTATAAATAATATAATATCTTGCTCATACGTGAATCCATTGCCTAGAAATGGATAAAGCTCTGATAAATTAGTATTTATTTGATATTAATGTCTATTTGATATTTCATCCTAAAATATTGCATATATCTGTGTTGAATTATTATATTTGCGAAGATGCATATTCACGAACCTCATAAAATAGAGTTTACTACTAATATGCATTATTATTATATATAGTTTTATTATTTATTGATACGTTTTGATATTTAGTTATGCTACAAAATATTAATCGCAAAATGTACGAAATTAATAGGAAATTTAATTTTGCTTTTATAAAAATGAAAACGTAATGGGAATCATTTCTCCGTTACAGTATTTGATAAAAAGCGATAAACGGAGTGATAAAATAAATAATTTGTTTTCGGATTAAATAAAAGTATATACTGTAATCTCTTGTATTTTTTACAAGCAATTCAGGAGAGATTTTTAGAAGAAACTTAATTGAAAACACCATGAGAATATTGCATTTTAATTTTAGTATCAAGTATATGAAATTTAATAAACTTTTATTGCAAAAATCTTCATATAAATTATTTTAAAGTTAATCAATTATATTTCTTAGTGTTGTATCTATTTAGAATATTTGATTATACTTTAAAAATATTTTTAATATGAAGAATAAAATTTTGAACGCTTATTGACGATATAGTAAAAAATGAGATATTGAGATATAAGAGAAATAAAAATTTGTAAGAACATATATATATTTGCGAGAACATGAAAAATATTTATATTAACAGAAATGGACTATCGCTTGGATCGTCCATTACTCTTTTCTTATATTATTTCTTGTCATCATCATCAATTTCTACATTCTTCTATCTCTACATAATAAAAATGTCGATGTTATTTTGGAATAAAGTTCATACATTTTATAAGTAATTAATGATAATAATTTATTGACGGATTAAAGAATCTTAAGAATATTTCTCAATTACCTTTCTTTTGTAATTAATCATTTGTGTTGAATTTATTTTGAAAGAAAAGTTAAGAATTTTGAAAGTCTCTCTTTATGTATGCAAAATCACATATTGCATATTAAAATCACATGTTTATAAGTATAAGCAATATTGCATATATTATGTTTCGTGATAATGTATTGTTTTAATTGTGTCAAGTTTTATATAAATATTGCGTTGAATTTTCCGCTTTTCAGCAAAATTATCAGCCAATATCTAATTAAAGTAAAATCATTTAATCGTTTACATCTTAAAATGTGAAACTTCTTTGATTTGTAGTATTTCATCTGACACGCTTTTAAGGCGACAGTCAAATAACGATTACAAATATGAATCGTAAAGATTTCTCAAAAATAATTTTCTACATGTGATGTTTACATGTTTTATATGTCAATTTTTGTACATAGAAAATGCCATAGAAACCATTTTACGATGTTGCTTTTAAATTTTAATTTAGATTGGATTTACGCATGAAAATAAGTAATTTATCTAAGATAGTTATTCGTTACAATTTAAAAAAATTTAATATTAAATCTTAATAATTAAAAAATTTACTGAAATTGAAATTGAAAGTAAGATCAAAGTAAATTACAAATTAAATATTATTGAGAATTACTTACTTTTCTAGACTTAAATTAATCTTTAAAAAGCTCTTTATTTTTCCTTTAGAGTAAAGGTAATAATAAAAAGAATGAAGAAATTATAACTGAAGTATTATTTAATTTCTTTTCAAAATCGCATAGTCTTCAAAAGATCTTTTATCTTCATTCTTTTGTACCTGTAAAATTACTTGTAGTCTCTCGATATTTCGATTACGAGAAAATTGATCGATCGATTAAAATTAAAATCTAAATTTCGCTTGTAATTCAATTCGTACAATAATACAATTCGCGAAAGGTTGTTAAAATATCAGAACTTCGCTCTCAAACGTATATTCAATAATCGGCGTGTCAAAAAAATAAGAGATGAAAAGAAAATTCGAAAAAATTTTTCAGACAATCTATCATCCGGAAATTTTAATGTGCGCGACATAATTCTTGCGACGCACGAAACGAGTTACGAAGAAACTCGATAAACAGCCGTGTGGCGCCTTGCGGTGCGTCCTTGCCTCGCGCAAGCGACGCCGGCACTAAAGTCCTTGTGAGGGAAAAACCACCCACGCAACATTAAGCGATACACTGCATACTTGTGCGTACCTCGTAAGCGTGTCAGTAAACGAGATCCAGTGCACAATCAATTTCATCGTTGCGTGTTATTCAAGCTGCGATCGAGATCCTTGTTAACCGTGGAAAAAAAGCTCTTGAAAATGCTGGGGGGAAGGGAAGTACGATCGATAATTATAAAGGAGATATAGAAAGCAAATTTGATTTTCACATATCAAGTCCTGTTAGATCTATAAAGTATTAAAACCCGAAATTATGAGTAATTAAAAATCGATTCTAATGTCGTATTGTAGTCGCGTGATATTTGATAAGACTAATAATTCTTGAATATGTGAGATACATTATTAATGATTGTAGGAAATGTCGGGAAAGTTAATACGTGATTAAAGCCAATCAACAATTATGATTGCACACCATGGTTTAAAACGAGCTAACCATGGTTTCTATGGTAACACTCGAGGGCCAATTTTCTCTTAAACGGCGACCTTGTTCTCGTCACTACATCTCTATTTTTCCCCTTTAATTGTCGTCCGTGTCTATAACTTTCTATCTCTTCATTTTCCCCATTACATCCCCAATGTAAAATGTTTCCTTCTCTGAGAATGACTGAGCTGTTAATTACCTTCACCGTTACTCTCCATCCTGGATGCTGTGTTGACCGTATCGCCGAACAGGCAGTATCTAGGCATTTTAAGACCTACTACACCAGCCACGCATGGTCCTGCAAGGAGACACATGTACGGCACTATATATGTTTTATGTTATTTTTATCACTGATGTTATTTTTATACCGTTTTTTTTTCCGAAAAAAGATAATGGAAACGATGTAATAGTTATAAAAATATCTGAAATTTTTGTTTTTAAAAAAGTATAATTTTTATACTTTTTATTTTTTTCAAGAAGATTCTTTCTTATAAAAAATTTTTTAAGTATCATTTTATATCAGAATAATTTCGTAAAAACATTTTTTACTTTTTTCTTTAACGTTTTTCATTTGTTGATTCTTGAAGAGTAAATTTTCTATTCTTTATTAAAAAAATTTGACAAGCGCTTACTTTCGCGAATACGTTATAATTAATATAATTCTTTTCAGATAATGCAGAAACGACGGTTGTCTTCCAAGTCTATTTAAAATCAATTAACTTTACTAATTATGACTAATCACTCGATGTATATATTATATTAAGTTGTTTCTTTTCACGGAACTAATCTAAGTTCTATGCGTTCTTGAAGGATGTTATTTCAAATACGCGTGACATTTGGTGTCACCGAGACAAATTTTACCGAAAAGTAGAAATAGGATGAATTAGTATCTGGAAAATAAAGATTCTCGTCACGTAATAATTTAAGGACCATCGTGTTATGAATTTAAAACTTAATGGAAAGAAAACCGAAAATAATAACCATTTCAGTTGAGAAATACAATCATACTTTCAATAGCACACGGCTACTACTAATATTTTTCAACAATATCATTTCCGAATCAATTCCATTTGTATCAAATATCATTTTCAATGAACGGATATTCTATGAAAGTAAATTTGAGGAAAAATTCCCACTAGGAATTATTTTGAAATATTGTACCGCGTTTTCATTCAATTTGTGTTATTCGTAATACCAATTCATAGCTTGCATATTCGATCTTTGCTACATGCAATCGATTCGTAACACGAAAGGAAATTTATTTTTTTATAATGTCATTCTTCAACATGTTGAATATTCTCTTTAATTAAACATCGAAAAATCTACAAAATATGATATAAAAAGTTTTCTCTTTAGCGAAAAATTGTACACATATATGTAATAATAAGTTGCAATAACAGGATGATGCACAATCTTTGAAACTTGAAATTAGAAATTCTGAGATTGCAAGCTATACGCAATACAAATCTGGCATGAAGCCTATAGAAACACGTTAAAACTAATTTTGTTTCACTTTACTCATGGAAAAAGATATAGGATAAAGTATTACTCACCAGAATGCATGCCGATACGAAGTTTTAATTGCTCGGTTGGTCTATGGCGAATACTGAATGTCATTACCGTATCCCTGAGGGCTAAACTCATCCTTGCAATTTCTCTAGCGTGATTCATTCCGTTTCTCACTGGTAATCCTGATACAACCATGTAAGCATCCCCTATTGTTTCCACCTGAAAAAATCAAGTGAAACTTGATGTGTTATTGATAAAAATTACAAAAATATAAAACATGTTTATATAAAACATATTTATATAAAAAATTCAAATTTTACATGTTTATGAAACATTTTTTTTCTTTATGTTACACGTTTTAGTTTTATTTATGTATTCAAATTTATTACTATTCATTTAAAAAGCAAAAGAGCATTTTTACATTAAGTATATATTTTTATATCGAATATATTTTCATGTTAAATTTATTTATTTCTGTCCACGTTTTATACCATTTTCTGTTCGAGTTAAATAGATTAAGTATGAGAAAAAGAAGGTGTCAGGCAAAAAGAAAAGTCTACAGAAATGGCATCATTATATTTAACGAGAACTACGATTTTAAAAAGTTCGTAATACTGGAATGAAATAAACGGATTAAAAGTAAAATGTATTTAATGTAGAAATAGAAAACAGAACATGAAACAGAAAACATGAGAAAAAGTGCTGTAAATGTAACAAAACCATTTTAATAATTAACAATTAAGGCTCTGATGAATATAAATTCAATAATACATTTTTAATTTTTTTTTAGATTAAAAGAGCTAAAAGCATGATAACGCAATTTTATTATTTAAATTACATATACTTAAACTACATAATCATATGTTTCTTCGACTTTGAATATGGTCCTCATCAATGAATATAAGATATTTCACTACTTATAATTTCTCTGTTAGTTTTAAAATTCATCCGCCTCGTACATATTATGTGTCAATCTTCTAAACATAAAGCCATTTTATTTCTCGAAATATCGGTTTTAAAAGTTCTTGTAATTACTGTCGATATATAATTAAAAAGAACATTTGCAAATATTAGCGACGAATTATTAATGCTGAACTTGTATCGATATGAATTAATCATAAGCGATGTGATATTAATAAAAAATTAAATATAGATTATGATTAATTTATTTAAAGTATATTTTTCAATAAACTCTGATATATAATCATCGCGATAATGATTAAATGAAACATGCGAAAGAGTATAAATAGTGTAAACAAATTATATTTAATTTTAATATTCAATATTTTAAAAAGCGAATAGAAGGAAAAGATAAGAACGTTCGAAAGGAAAAGGGAAAGTTTAATCTGTAATTAAAATAAAGTAATGTAGTTCAGCGAAACTGTTGCGAGGGGATATATATATATATAT